GGGTCTACGACCACAATACGGGCCCGTTTAAGTTGTAGTGTATGTCGGGGTGAGCCCGATGCCGGGGTTAGCCCGATGCAGTTTATATGTTCCGGACTTCGGTCCGATGCCTGGGCGGTCCCGGGAAGTAGTTATGTATGCTTTATGTCTTTGTGATTCATGCATGTTTATGTGTTATGTGTTATATGTTCCGGGGTAAGCCCGATGCCGGGACAAGCCCGATGTATGTTAGTTAATATGTCATGCAGTATGTGTTCCGGGGCAAGCCCGGAGTATGCTAGTTTATATGTTATGATTATATGTTCCGAGCCTTGGCCCGATGCCGGGGCAAGCCCGATGCAGATTATGTAATTATGTTATGTGTTTATGGTATATGTTATGCTGTGTATGTGCCGGGGTAAGCCCGATGTCGGGTGAGCCCGATGCCCGATGCGGTCGGATGTCGGGGCGAGCCCGATGCCGGACAGGAGTCCGATGTCGGGTAAGCCGATGTTGGGATTCGTCCCGATGCAGGTGGGAGTAGTCCCAGAGTTATGTGATTATTATACATTATGTGTATGGTACGTGGTAGTTTGGGGGAGCTCACTAAGCTTCGTGCTTACAGTTTTCAGTTTTGGTTTCAGGTACTTCCACTAGCAAAGGGAAGGACTCGGGATGATCGCATGGCACACACCACAGTCTTCAGCCTGGGAGTTTTACTCTGATATTTTGATATGATATTTGACATGTGATAGATATTACGAGATTTTGAAACACATAGTTTATGATTTTATACGTTGGTAATGAAATGATGGTTTTTAATAATGTTTTAAAAACGAAATTTTTGGGTTGTATTTTTGGGATGTTTCATAACTATAGTATGTTATGTCGTCACTTAACTCGAATAAATGTTATATTACCACTCTGTCAGTTGGCTTTGCTAAGGATACATGTTTAAAATAATTATATATATTAATTATAATTATTAAACATCAAAACTCTAAGTACACAGTTATATAGGTGATGGTTGGACTATATCCAACTAACCTACGTTAAGATCACTCCCGGTTAGCCTGCTCTTAAAAGCACCATTTTCCTCAAGTATAGCCTTCAGATACGGATACACTAATAATATATAAAATAAATGAGAATTATGGAAACCCTAGTACCTAGGAATAGTAGAACATTATTTTCAAAGAATAATATACAAAACCCGTGAACTCACCAACATTATGTTCACCTTTCAAAACCACATGTATTCCTAGGAAACCTAGAAGATTGAACCTCTGGAAGCAATGGTTAATCGACGAAGCTACTGAAGACTTACTATCATTATAGTTATGCCTAACTGTTAAGGCACCTTTTTTAGTAGAAACACTAGTACTTCCAAAACATTTTCCGATGTAATGTTTTACCTATAAATGGAAGTGATATTTATGTTATATATTGTTTTGTACTGTTCAATGACTATGATCCAACATTCTAACGTCGCAAAGCTCGACGTTTCCGCCGGTCGGGGGTGTGACAAGTGTGAATATCGGTATTGCAAAGGCAACTGAAAACACGAAGATGAGAGTACGAAGGGTGAGAGTAAAATTGGCGGAAGTGTGGTGTTTCATTTTGGATCCATGAAGACGAGAGTATATTTAGTAAGTGGTTGCTATGTTAATAGCTTCGACCCATAGTATGTGTGGAAGGTGAGAGTGAAAGAGAAGAATCCGAACAATAATATTAATTGTCCGAAGCATGCGTTTGAATTCCCATTTTGTTGGAATGTATGAGGACATGAGAAGCGGAATTGAATTTCCAAACGAAAGATACTTTCCTGTTCTTGATCATAAGGATCAAATCATTCCGGTAGAGGAGAGATTCAACAAAGAAATGGGAGGGGTTGAAGTTTTCTTCAAAAAAACATAGGCAAGTCCTTTTCTCATGTTCCCACAGAGCAAGCATCCGTGTTAAAGGATTGGAACAAGATCCTTTCAAAGATTGGCTTGTTATTGTTATGATGAATATATTTTAACATAAACCGATTTCCCAAGAGCCAATCATGCAGATCTACTCTACCTTGCAAAACCGTCATCCAAAAGATAGAGTCAAAGGAAAGTGATCATTTACCTTAGCTTCATCTTGAAGCTATCCTCATAGACTAATTGTTGATTTTGCCACCATTAATGTCAAAGCAAACCAACCCCTCCATTTGCCAAACTTTGTCTATCGTTGATTTTGTCACCATTGATGTCAAAGCAAACCAACTCCTCCATTCGCCAAACTTTAGACACATGCCTTAAAGGAATAGTGGAAAGAGAGCATGACATCACATATGATCCGGAGTTAGGAGCGATCTACAACGAAAAACTTTGAAGAAAAATTCTTCCTACGGTTAAGCCAAAAGCATAGACATTCAAGCTCTAGTCTGAAGAGTATCACTAATGTTTCTTTAGAATCTCCTGAATCTTTGGCGGAGGTAAAGAAAGAAATCTTTTGGCAGATCGAGTGGTTGTTTGTTTTTTGAAGATTTTTCCGAAGGAAAATAGATTTCTTACAACATTCCCTTAAAGATTTGCTACTGTCATTTTAGGGAAGCTGGTTGGAACCCAAACTAACATTTACATTCCACATTACTAGTTCTTGTTGATTTTTGGTTTTAATGCATAAGCCTAAGCCCTAAGCCATAGACCGTAAGCCATAAGCCATAACCTATAAGCCACAAGCTTTAAACCTTCAACCCTGATTCGTAAGCTCTAAGTTGTAAGTCATAAGCCAAAAGTCAAAAGCCAAAAACCCTAACAATAAGCTTAGACCACAATTCTTCACGTATTACAACCTCTAAACATCCTTTAAACAAATTTTGATACATAGTATGCTAACAACAGTTGGACACAACATCATTTCTCTTTTTTTTTTTTTTGAAAAATATCAAATGTCTTTTTCAGATTATAACGTTGAAAACTATCAAGAACTCCATAACAACACCAACATAAAGAAACGTAGAAATTATGAGCCAAACATAAAAAATGGTCGAAATAAAAAAGTTTGCCAAATGTGAGTTCTTTTTATGAAAAAAAAAAGGTTTTTTTGAAGAAAAAAAAACTATGTAACACTAGAAGATTACCAATAAACCTACTAAAATGACCAAATCAAACAAAGTGCAAAATGTAAGGGATAATTTCTATGATAAATAATCTTCTATCAATACAATTATATATACACAATCATTCAACTTTTTATAGCAACGAACTTTATGTTTTTCAATTTTTTTAGAAAAATATTTTTATTTTTTGGTCATTTTGGATCATTATGGTTAACCGATATTAATCATTAACCATAACCATTAACCGATTAAACCGTTAACCAAAAACCAATATTAACCGTTACTCAATGGCTATCGAAATACATCAACCAATTGTAATGGTTATGGTTCGATTTTGAGCAATAACGGAACCAACCCGCCCCATACACACCTCTAATGGTTTGTCTGATTCGGTCTCAGATGATGCCTCTGAAGAACAAATTTGTTTGGAAAAAGTGTCGACAGAAGTTAAAGAAGAGGACTCTGATTCTGATGAAGAAAAGTAATACGAAATTAGTCTTCACTGAACTAGTTTCAATCCTAAAACTAGCTGAAGTCAGTCATAAACTAGTTTTTATCAAATATTTAGCAGTTTTTTTACATATGATATATTGTTTACATTTGCTATATCTATAAAATGTGTCTCACAACTTAGTCATTTTATGTTAAATTGATGCTATTTTATGACGGTTGAAAGAAATGTCAATCTATTAAATGTGTTTCACAACATACTCCTTTTTTATGATTATCTCGCTGTATTGCCATTATAAGATCTTATAAAGTCTTCATAATCTCTCCTCCATTATCGATCAAAGCAGCTGAGAAATTCAACCAAAAAATGGCAGAATCTGAAAAAAACATGTACTAATATTACTCCGACCAAGTGATTTTTCATAAATCTAATTTAATTCATCATTATATATAATAACTTTTTTGTTCTTCAACTCACAGGGAAAGCACAATCTGTTCATAACGAGAATCCCCATTTACTAACTTCAAACCTAATATTCTTTTTATACTAAACATTAGGACAAACTTTTCCATTTTTGTCTTCGCTTCAAACTTGTTGCACTAGATTTTTTTTTTTTTTTAAGCTTGATGTAATTATCAAGTTGTTAATTGTTGTGGTGTAGCAGATAAGACCTTTTACAAATTTGTTTAGGGCCAACGTAGTAAGTGCTTTGTTTTGTTTGGAGTCATAAATTTCATTAAGGACCCCACTTTTCGTTTATAGCTTAAAACTTGTTCCATAATAATTTTGTACAATTATATTATACTTCCCTAATCAGAATCATTTTACTAGAAAAGTAAAGTGTGTTTTTGTGTGTGTAGATGTGCAGTGGTAACAGGCTCAAACAATAGGATAGGATTTGAAGTTTGCAAGCAATTGGCTTCAAATGGGGTGAAAGTAGTTTTGACTTCTAGAGATGAAAAGAAAGGGATTGATGCTCTTAACAAATTCAAAGGAACTCATCTTTCTGATTTTATTATATTTCATCAGCTTGAAGTTACAGATCTGCTAGTGTTGCTTCCTTGGCTCAATTTGTTAAAAAACAATTCGGAAAACTTGATATCTTGGTATAATTCAAAACCCTAGCTATTACCAAATGAAAATTCTAAACAATAAATCTTATTATTGTTCATGTGGATTATAATATGATATTATGTAAAGGTGAACAATTCTGGGATTTGTGGAGTTGGGGGAAATGAAGAAGCTATTAGGGCTTCAACCCAAGATTTGGTAACCCGTTTTAACTAAAGTATTTTATCATTTATAAATATCAGAGGGTTTTTTTTTTTTTTTTTTTTTTTTTTTTTAATTTGGTTGGATACTTGTATATTAGATATTTTTCTTGAATATAGGGCCTATATGGATGGAACCAGAAAGTGATAGTCTCATGAGTTGGCTGTAGAATGTCTGGAAACAAACTACTATGGAGCAAAAAGAATGGTTGAACATTTCATTCCACTTCTAGAATTATCACATTCACCAAGGATTGTAAATGTCTCCTCCTCTTCCTATGGAATATTAAAGGTACATATGTAACATAAGAGTGCTCAAAAGTTTTTGGTAGCCAAAACTCATAGTTCACTTGAACAACATAATTTTCAGAATTTGGAGAATGAATGGGCTAAAGGAATATTGAGTGATGTTGAAAACCTAACAGAAGAGAAAATCGATGAAGTGCTTAATCAGTATCTAAATGATTTCAAAGAGGGATTGCTGGAAACCAAAGGGTTGCCTACAACATTGTCAGCATATATGATTTCAAAAATAGCCATGAATGGCTACACAAGGATTTTGGCCAATAAATACACAAGTTTTTGCATCAATTGTGTGTGTCCAGGATATGTTAAGACATATATTAACTATAATAATGGCATATTAAGTACTGAAGAAGGAGCTAAAACCCCGGTTAAGGTTGCATTGTTTCTGGATGGTGGTCCTTCTGGATGCTTCTTTGATAGAGATGGTATCCTGTCGTTCTAAATAAATGTTGGAGGGTGTATTATGTATTATGGTGATGAAACCTGTGTACTTGTTAGTATATTATGTATTATGATGATGATACACGGCTACTTGCTAGTGTATGATGTATTATGATGATGATACATGTCTACTTGTTAGTGGATGACATTTGGTGATATAAATGTATCAACTATTGGTGGATTTCCTTGGTCAGCAATGAAAACATTACTTAAAGATTTATAAATATTGAATATGTATACGTATAACTGACTATTGATTAAATATAAAATTAAAAGTTGGATAAACACTCTAAATAATCAAACATCCAAAATTTATATAAATATGAGTAATTTAAATCTAAAAAAGTTAGGTAATAATTTTTTCAAGATTTATAAAATTGTACACAAAATACCTGAGGCCCAATCAATATCTAATGGGAGGAGAGGAGAGGTTAACTAAAGCTGCAAATTGGCATATATCTCTTGTATTCTCTTGTTTTGTACTCCTCAAAATGGAAACCTGCAAAAGTTTCATTTTTTAGAACACAAAAAGATGATCCAATTTAACATTTTTTATTAAAAGTTTCATCAAAAGAGTTCCATACCTTTGGGTGCTCCATGGAATTACCAAAATACCCTATTCCAAAAGACAAACTAGTAAACCCAGCAGCTATTTCAACAGCTTTCAGCTCTCGTGATGATCCAGGACCCTAACAAAATTAATTCAAAATTATCAACATTTAATAAATAAATTAATAACAAATTTATACTCACCACCAAAGGAGCCTCAGCTTGCACAAGCAAAACTCCAGCACTTGTATCACTGTTGTCTTCAATTACAGACTCTAAAACTTTTGAGCATGCGGCTACTGGTCCAGCATGTGATCTTCAATAAATAAAATACATAATCACTATTTTAATAATGAAATTAATATTTTTTGAAAAAATATATAAACATGTGAATGAGTAAATCATACAGTAATGGAGATATGCAGCATTGGTGAGCAGCAAAAAGTTTCATTAGGCATTCACCAGCACCACTAACACAACAACCAACATTTGAAGATGCCCAACAACCACAACCGTATGTTGCTGCTAATCCTACACGCCCACTCACCTAATTTTGAATTTTTTTTTTAAGTATAAAAAAAATGCTAAAATATGGTTATTAATGAGATGTAAATAAATATTACTTTTAGTGCAATGCCACCACTAGAAGCTCCGGAAGCTATGTTTCCTTGTTTATCAATACATATAACTCCTACTGTATCCATGATGTTGTCTTCTCCTTTATCTGATTGTGGAATAAATATGAAATTCATTAAATTTGAATTTAATGGAATGGTAAAAAAAGGAATGGAATGAACAATGTAATGGAATGAGTCATTCAAATGTGGTTTGTATGTACAAATAGAAAAGTAGAAAACTAAACATATATTAATAAAAAAAAATTATTAAGACAAACTTTAGTCAAATGGATACACCGTTAAACAAATTGAATGTAAAATTTTTGCATGTTGTTTTAAATATACAATATATGTATTTCAAATAGTAAAAGTATTTATTTATCATTTAGAAAAACTGTTTATAAAAATATAAAAATAAATACGATGAAATCTTAAATTAGAAATGAAATAAAAAATAGTTATATTTATCTTTTGGCAAATATAACTAATTTAATTGAAACTATGATTTTTTAAAAGAAAAATTAATGTTCAAAATTATATAGATAAAAGTAATAAAAAAAAAAAAAAAAAAAAAAAACGCCCTCCATGAGAAAATGCACATGATTTTTTCATTTTACTGTAATGCTACATTCCATTCACTCTTCAATTACTGCATACCATAAACTATTCAAGTGTTTGGTTGAGAGGAAATGGAATGGAACTCAACTATAAGAGTAGATTAAATTTTTATTAATTTAATATATGTAATAAGGGTGCTTTGGTCTTTTAATTAAGAAAGAAGGAGAATGAAATTCTTCCATCCACCCTTAGGAAATGTGAAATCAATCAGACATGGAATTTAAAGGAATCTGACGATATTGAGTTCCATGCCAAAGAATGGAATCATGAATTCCAATTCCACCAGATTCCACAAACCAAACACACCCTTAGTTCACTGAGTTTAAATTAATTAATATTCTTGGAAAATAAATTGTTTATTAGTCATACCCGATGAATTATCAATCTGTTGATGACTAGATGATTTCACTAAAGTAATTTCAGCTTTGGCATCATCAAGCATTGCTTTATATTTCTTCCACTGTTCTTTTGCCTTTCTTGTTATAAGCCACTATAAAAGGATATAACAAAGGCCAGTTAAGCAGAAAAAATGTGGTCACAGAAATATTTGGGTATTAAATCAAGAAAAACTGTGATAATAACTTAACCCTAGTAAAATTTAATATATTACCTCATTGGCCTTTTCAATGGTTTCAAAAATATTAATGCCCTTGGAATTTGCCCAAACACGCGCACCCTCACCAGCCAAAAACCTGAGTAATAATAATAATAAGTTTTTATGTAAAATGTAAAGTTCCAGTGATAAATTGGATGCAAAAGAAGTTTGATTACATGGGAGGAATTCGACCCAACAGTGATGAACCCAAGATTTGCTCCTTCACCAGCAAAGCTGCAATCTTAATGGGATTTCTTACACCTGGTAATCATTTGCTTCAAAGAAAGGTAGAATATATAATATATTAGAATAAAAAGCCTCAAATAATATAAGCAAACCCAAGAAATAGATGAAATGAAAGTCTTTAGAGATAATGAAATATATATTATATGGATATACCTGGTACTGCTCCAACAGCACCAAATGCTCCAGAGCTACCATCCATGACACTTGCATCACATTCAACATCTCCATCTTCTGTCAAATTCGACCCTCTTCCAGCATTTGTGCATGGATCATTCTGCACTTCATCATTCAAGAAATGAGTTTTACACAATTTTTTAAGATTGTTGTAACACAAAGCAAAAGGAATTTTATGCTCTGGAGGCTGATCATATGTATACACAGTAAAAGTAGTCTAATAATACCTCCAAGGTCTCAATGGCTGCTGACACAGCATCTGCACATCCTCCAGAGCCCTATAACAAAGCAAATGAGCATGAAAACTATACAAAAACCAATCAACTAATGAATCATCTTTTAAATAGATATCTGCAGCAGTTTCAACGATTCTAAGTTAAGCTTCAAATCATCAAGCCAAATTCTATTTCCTATTTAGTAGCCGACATTATCAACAGTAATAGTAAGTTAACAAACTTCATAATCACATACATTCCCTCCCTTCCATGGAAATTAGACTTCCTGTTGATTTTCAATGACATGGAAACCTAATACGTTTGAGAAACAAATGGATTCAAATTCGTTGTAATTTAACACATATTATTCGCCTATGTATAAAGTTCAATCAAGTGAAAAATCATTCTCGGAAACTTTAAAACCATATGAACTTTAAAGTTGAAAAGTAACTATAGATTCAAAACTCGGAAGCTCCTATTCGTGAACGAGGGAATAAACATCATTGAAAACTCAAAAGCCGATATACTAATAACAAAATTAAACATATGCAAAGCTACAAACGTTTATCGAGATATGTATATAGAGACAGAGGAGAGACCGTTCGTAGAACAGATGCGGCGGCGAGACAGGCAGTTTTCATTGCAGATCGGAGAGCCTTTTCGTTAACCGGTGAGTGGTAACCAGCGCCGACGTGGACGGCGACGAAGAATCTCTGGTTGATATGATCAGAAACTTCGCCGGCCATCACTTTACCGGTTTCGAAATACGTCCGTTAACGTCAAATGGGACTGTGAAACCCGGGTTAGTGGGCCGTAGTCAGCCGTGGTGCAAAACTACATGAATGAGAAGTGCTCACTTTGCACCTCAATGTTTACAACTTTGTTAATTCCTACCCCCAAATATAAGTATCGACTTTTTTTAGGATTATACTTTTAACTTGTGTAAATTGCCAATGATATGTAAATTTATATCTTCTTAGTTTTTGTTTGTATCTTATTATTGTATGTATTAATCCAAACCTTAATCTAGGGGGTGTGAGGTAAAGTTAAAAAATGAAATCTCGATTATTGTTTTCACTAATGTTAATTGTCTTTAATTAGTTTTTGTTTTCTATCAATGAAAAATTATACACCAATTGTTAATTAATTATATGTCAACTACCATTCCAACATGCATACAAATATTTATACATCAAAACAAAGTATGTGATTATCGTTTTATTGAAGGAATAGGTCAAAACTTGAGAAAAAACCACCTTGTTTCTCTCCATCAGTATCGGATTATTGCCTCAAAATTATTAGGATCTCCACTCAGGTGTCATTATTTCACTAAATCAATCCTAACTCGGCCTCTAATCCATCACAAAAAACAGAAAATTAAGATGAAATATATTGTCAAATACAAACAAGGAATTCTTTTTCCTTTGATCTTCAATTAATTAAATATTTGACAACCCAATTTTTGTTGGGTGCCTTTCCTCTTGTTGGGATTTTTTTAATTTTTTTCAGAAAAAAATTGAGAAGAAAATAAGAAGGAAAAAAGATGTCTTTCACAGGAACTTTGGATAAATGCAAAACTTGCGATAAGACTGTTTATTTTGTTGATTTATTGACTGCCGATGGAGTTACTTATCATAAAGCGTGCTTTAGATGCACCCATTGCAAAGGCACTCTCTCGGTTTGTTTCCTAAATCTTCTTTTCTTTCTTTCTTTCTTTCTGGTTTTGTTGTTTTTCTTTGCCTCAAAGTGATACGAATCGCTTGTTTTTTCCCCTTTTAATTGCACAAACAATCGACTCTTTTTGGTTTTTCTTTTTAACCTCAAGGAAACGTTTGATTTTGGTAGGTTTCTGATAAAATTTGGTGTTAGAATTTCATCATTACAGAAATATACCAAGAATTCATCAAGTTGTTTAATATAGTATTATTTACAATCATCTTTGATATAAATTTTATTGCAGATGAGCAACTACTCCTCAATGGATGGAGTTCTTTACTGCAGGCATCATTTCGAACAACTCTTCAAGGAATCTGGAAATTTCAGCAAGAATTTTCATGCAAGTAAGATTTAATGTAATATAATTTCGTGTTAATTGTTTTCCCATTTACTATGAGAATTTTTGTTATCAATTTCGTATCCAAATTCTACAGCAAAAGAAAAAGAAAAAGCGCCTCCGAGCAAAGTCTCGTCTATATTCACCGGTACGCAAGATAAATGTAGACAATGTAGCAAGACTGTGTACCCTCTCGAAAAGGTTCGTACACTGCTTCTTATAAATTACTATAAATTAGTTGTTGATATGAGTGTAAAAACTACTTTTGGAAAATGTATGTGATTACATTGATAATTACAAAAGCTGACATGATGCAATAAAATATACTTTTTTTGTTTAAGCACAAGATTGGATGCACTTATTTCTAATCATATCCGATTTTTTTACGAGCATTATAGATCACAATGGAAGGAGAACCATACCACAAATCATGCTTCAAATGTGCTCATGGAGGGTGTCCTCTTACACACTCATCATATGCTGCCCTTGATGGTATTCTTTATTGCAAACATCATTTTGCTCAACTCTTCATGGAGAAAGGAAATTACACTCATGTCCTCGAGGCTGCAAATAGAAGGAGCAATGCAAAGCCGGAGGATGTAGTTGAGCCAGCCGGGGAGGAGGAAGGTGAAGGAGGAGGAGGGGAGGATGAGGATGGCCAAGCGGAACCACCAGCTGAGGAGGAGAAACCACCGGAAGAGGACTAATCCTAAACATATTCAAATACTTTATATATACATACTTACATATCTTGGTTTCTTTGTTAATGTAATCTTTTGAAGACCCCTTTTTTCTATTTCATTGTGTTGGGCCATTGAATATTCAGTGGTTTGACTTTTGAAATTATCCTCTATATTTTATTTTCAGTTGGTGACTATAATGTATAACCTTTTACAATTCAAATATAAATCAAGTAACTCTCTTGAGGGTATGTCATAAGGAGTTGTTACATAAACCTTCTGTAATAAAATATGTTGGTGGCACATTGAGCAACACGTTAAAATGAGTGAATTTTGGCGGGTTGGATTAAGTTAATCAGTCTAGCATGTTTTCAACTATTTTTTTTGTAATTTCATAAATAATTTAATAATATATAAATATGTTACAAAAAAATTTCTTCTAATGATCCAGCTTTTTAAATAAGACAATTTACTTATCTGTAAACACGAAGGTAGGAGAGTGTGGACGACTTTTAGATCATTTTTGACCTGTTGGACTCGATTCTATGTTAATTGTTTTTGGGATTTTACTTATTTCACAACATAATATAATTCATTTTTACTTACACATTCAAATATTCTCTCTACATGCTTAATACTTGTATAGTAACGATACTACTAGAACCTATATAAAGCAATTTTACGACCGAGTATAACAAGATTTGGTCATTTGTTGAAGTTGTGAGTCTTCCAAAATTCGTCTTCCCACATTTCAACTTGTTTTATTGCTCTTGTGTTGTTGTCAATGATAGATTTAATGGTGGAGGGATCATAGGGTGGAGGCATAGTACATGGAATTGTATCTGAAGGGTAGTGCACTAGGGATTCTTCCATGAACTCCCTCCACTTTCCATCTGCAAAGCATGCCATCGACTCTGAACATAGCTCCATTGCAGTTGGAGGGATAATAGGCTTGAACTTCAAGAGCTTAGCGTATTCCGTTAATAAATGTAACATATAGTCATAAACATATTCCATCTTCACATCCTCTTGAATGAACTGGCTTGATGCCTTACCTATCTCTTCTGCCTAGTATGGTCGTAAAATTAAAACACGTAACAAATACCCTTAGGTTATGTTTGTTACACAGGACATGATTGGACGAAGTTGGACAAGCTCAATAGGATTACTTTCAAAGTTGAGAATGAAATGATATTTATGTCTTTTGCACAAACAAGAGAGTAGTAGTTAGTCCTAGCTTGTTCCTCCATTTTGTGTGGGACAAATGTAACTTTCATCTCATTGATCATGTATTCATGTTATATTCTCATTTTTAGTTCAATGCAAACAAAACACAGTATAAATACAAGATTGTCATGTCACGTCAGGGTCATTTGATGTGTTGTCCTACATAACAAACAAGGCTTCAATAAAAAAAATGTTTGTGAAATGTGAACTTACCTTGGAAGCGTGATTGTTGCCCCATTCAACACCAAATTTAAGAGATCTACATTTATTAGTTTCCCGGATAGGCCAAAAATGCTCTAGGGGTGTCATCCCTCTTGAAAAGAATGTGTAGTAATGCGGGGTTATGTATAATGTTGGTGAATCACACGCCAATATGTATTTCTCGCTAACCGACCATGCCCATCCTTCAACATATATCTTATACCTATTCATGAAATCGTGTCGAATAATATTTTGTCAATAATTTCAAGGGAGTGTAATAAAATATGATATTATAATACACAAATAAATAAAAATATATTTTTATGTTTTTCTACATTTAATCCTATCTAATATTCACAATTATTCTCTACCTGTAAGTACATTGATCTTCAATATTCGACTGCTTGTATCCATTTGCAGATTCATTGGTCCAGTTCTATCCAAGTGTTAAACCACCAATAAAATTATATAAGTTTATCATCCAAAGAGTTATCGGAAGATTTACTCACATCATAACATTTAAAAATATATTATAAGTTCAAAACTGAAGGTTAATGTACCTGAAAAAATAAACGGGTATTCCAGTCAGCATGAGAAGTTTGGTTAACATTGCACTTGACAAGATCACCCCTAACAGGGGACACCCCAGGGTTACCCTTCCAATACGCGTAGGGTACCCTTTCCTTCCATTTGACCCTCTTGTTTCCTTCTTTAATGTCCTTCAATGTAATTTCCCATGGCTTTTGGTTTGTCTCAGGCCTATTACAATACAAATGTACAATCATATTATTCATTTATTCATTTGTTTTTTGGATTTAAAATTTTAAAATTTGAATTAGATCCATTAGTTTGTTTCATTTAGATTGATGTATTGATTTAATTCTTTTTGTTATAAGATGAGAAAAATGTAAACATTTCAACTAAGGTTGGCAAAATGGAGTGGTTATTACTTATTAGATAGAGAAAACAATTTATATATTTTGATGGTTTTGTTATATATAAGAAAAAAAAATAATTATATACCTTTAAATCATATGGGATTTAACTATGAACACCTTCATGTTAAAATATCATCAAAATAAAAAGCAAAAAAAGAGAGACAAGTTAATAGAGAGAATAATTACCATCCCCAAAAGGACCAATCGGGTGAAACGATATCCAAGCTCCACGGATCAGAACAATACTTGAACAATGGAGGAGGCCCAGGATTGGGCCTCCTAAAGTACTGTTTTGCATTAAACACCGGCCGATCATCACAATCAAATATAAGTTCAAGGTCAGGAACCCTGCCAGGGTACCTTCTTAACAATTGTTGAAACCCCCATAGCGTGAACAAATCTCGAGTTTGAATTGATTTTCTAAATCTTTCTACATATGCTTTTCCATCAAGGATTATTAGTCTGAAATGTGCATTCCACTTTGCTCTCTTCACCATGTCTCTTGTGATCCCTGTCGCTCTCCAATGTCGTAGATCTTCGTGGATCCAACGAAAGTAATCTGGACATGTCTTGTTCGATGAATGGTCTAGATTTTTATGGGTTGTTGGATAGTTTTTTGGACATGTTGGTGTTTGATTCCATGTACGACAATCAAGAGGGAAGTCGTGTTCTTCTTTGGTTATTTTAATTTGCAAGATTGATCGACCTGAAAACATAGACTACATACATGTACAAGTTATATCGACACATTAAACTACCAAATACATTATTTGCATAAAAGATATCACTATATCTGATATGTGATCAACAATTAGTTGCCAAAAAGGACTTATATAAATTATATGTTTAAGGGGTTTAAAGTCTGGTTGTTACCATGTGTTCATTGTGTTGCAATTTATGTCGCTAAAGTCATCAATTGACTGGTAAAAATTTAACTATGGTTTAATTTTCCATTTAATATATCTTAGTGTAAGGGATGGTGACTACTTTTGCATTTACAGAGCAGTCAATTTTACTATATAGGTTTAAAAATAATTTTATTTTCATTAAAAAGTTAATTAAGAGACTTACTATATGTCTGACCAAGACACAATCAACAAGTATATGATAAAGCAAACAAAGGTCAGAATAATGAGCCACAAAACACAAACTCATACAGCATGATTCCGACAACGGCCAGGTTTTGGTCTTAGCCTGTATATAAGTTCTTCATATTGCTAATTAAGTCGTTGAATATGTTATTTGTCTATATATGCGCAATGTATCACGTTTTTAGATGGAGTGTTTTTCTTTTTCCTTTTTTTTTTGGGTGGGTGTGTGGGTGTGGGTGTGGGGGCCGGGGTCATGTTTGTAGCCATATGGAGTCACATGTGGAAACAAGCACTAATTACAATTAAGTGAAAATTTGGATGAAAATGTAACCAAACATATCACGAGACATTGTTTAGTTTTTAATATTTACAAAGTATTTTAAAAATCACGTGAGATACACGTGAATGTAGGAAGAAGCATGTGAAACGTAAAAGTGGAAACCAACCGAACGATAAATGTTGATATATCTTTTTTTTATTTGGAAACATAAAAATCACTTAAATATCTATACTCACTGAAAAAAAAATTAAAAAAACCATTTTTTTCAGCCATATATATATATATATATATATATATATATATATATATATATATATATATATATATATATATGAGATTTTAATATTTCTAAAGTTTAAAAAAAAAAATAGATATCTCAAAATATTTTTCTTTCTATATATTTCTATTGACCCTTTCCTTGCCAAATATCTAAAAGGTAACTACATTATGCAACCAGTATTAAGGTGGTCTAATGATGATCATTAGTGATTTAAACATTCCAAAATTGGATTAATTCAACCTTGGGATGAACTTCTATTTAGAAATAATAATAATAATAATAATAATAATAATAATAATAATAATAATAATAATAATAATAATAATAATAAAAAACTACTGTATGCATGTTCATTTACAAGCAAAAATACAAATATATATATATCTTCTTATTGAAGGTAGTCGAGTTTAATGGATACTTACAAGGTCCAACCAAAATGCAGCTATCAAGAGGACAAAAATAAAAGCAAATGCCACGACCATAAGCCAATGTTTATGAGTTGCTTTAACATGGTTGTGATGAATGGATGCTGGCCTTAACCAATATATCTTCTTACACTTCTCTTTATACAAGTTCTCCATATTTTTTAAGTTATTGAAAAGGGTTTCACTCATTCTATCTTATATGGAGCCGCGGTGGGAGATGATCCATGTTTGAGACCATGAAGTTACATGTGAAAACAAGCATTGGCCATGAATCTAATTGTGAGAACTTTGTGATATAAGTAAGTTTAATCATGTGGAAAAAGATTAAGTTTATAATGATTTCCACAAGGATAAAAAACGTGGCCAAGAGCCCAAGACACTGAAATATCGTGAGAGCTTCTTACACTTGTACCTCATGCAGTCCAACTAATACCATAGAAAGTAGAGACTTTGAGTTGCATTGATCCAGCTCATAAAAATCATAATCATTTGTCTTTTTTGATAAATTGCAAAGCTAATATTACTTTTTTTTTTTTTTTTTTTTTTTTTTTTTTTTGCCTATGGCCATTATTTCTATTGTTTTTATAGAGAAAGTTTATTGGAAAATGATTACGAACGATGTAATTTGTTCCCCATCTTTTGTTAATGTTTGTAAGGTTATAAACTATATAAAAGATAGCATCCCAAAATTTATATTTCTACGAGTTTAATATATCTTGCAAACACTAGGTTTAAATTGTAGATTGTGTTCTAGTATTTGTTGATA